AGCGACAAGCCGCCAGTCCAGATCCTGCCGCAGCGCCGTGGCAATCTGCCGCGGGGAACTGTGGGCCACCAGCTGCTCGTCTGCGTCTGCGCCTGCACGATGCAAATCGTGCAGCGTGTGCGTTGGGACCACGCCGCCTCGCCTCTCGCGCAGCGGCGCCAAAAGCACCCCTGTGGAGTACGCACTGTCGTCCGACGCAAAGGCAGGGTCACACAGGAGACCGCCGGCCGCCGCCCCCTCAACACGGACAGCAGCATCCCCGGCACCACCGCACAAAAGGGCGGAGGTCGCAAATCCCACTAACACGTCCTTTTGCGTGTTCGCAAAGAGCGTGCGCCGCCGAAATAGTCGCAGTGCCGCGAGGTGCCGCCTGCCAAGGAGCCGCGTCGACAGCACCGCCGCGGTGTCACTGAGAAGGAGTTCCCGCAGCGACGGGGCACACACCACGGCGAGCAGCCAGGATCCATACTGCGTTCATGCGGTCATGAAGCGGTGAACATGTTGACTCTCGTACAGAAAGAAGCCAAAAAAAGAAAACATACAACGCAGCAGAAGAATGGGAGAAAGAGAGTTAGAAGTAACGTGCATAACAGAGAAAAAAACGGAAGTGGAAAGGTAGAAGCAGTCTCACCTCTTCTCGATCCTCGCCTTGTCCGATGCCTCTATTCTCATTTATAATATTGACTTCGTTCCTTTCTTTCTTTTCTTTTTGAATCTTCCAGTAGCAAAATCACGCAGTTGCGTAAGAAGTACGCAACCTCTTCTCGTTTATTTGTTGGCAACGATCGTCATTTCCTCCCTCTCTGTTTTTCATTACTTCCCCTCTTGGCACCGATGGCATCGGCACGTAAAAAAATACCCTTTCAACATGGCATGCCGTTGCTCAGTTGTGGTGTTCTCCAGTGGGATGTATGTTATCGTCAGCTCCTCTCCGCTCTGCACCGGACGAAGCGTGCGCAGCCTAATCTCGTGTGTGCCGTCTACCGTACTCACGGCAAGGTTGGGGTCACACGAGTGGTTAAAGGCAGATTGCAGCGTATACACCCCCCCGCCCTTGAGCACCCACTCCACGGAGGGAGCTGCAGAAGCGGCCCCTGCTGCAGCCGGCGAGGAGTAGACGATGAAGCCGTTTATGGCCTGCGAATTCAGCGACATTTGACCTAGAAACGTTTCCAGCGTGTCGTGACGCAACAGAGCGTCCACAATTTCTTGCGCCCAAGCTGCGCTCTCCGATTGCGGTGGCGAAATTGCCTCCAAAAGGACGGCGTGGCAGGGCCCGCGCAGCAAACGATCCACGGCCCCGTACCAGGAGGCAGCGTCCACATCACTGAACTCTGTGCCTTTGGGGGCATCGATAAGACGGTTAAACGGCGCACAGGCGAGGTGGAACAACTGCCGGGCAACGCTGTCTGCGTGCTCCGTGTGCTGCGTCTCCAGCAGAACCCCACTAAACTGCTGTTGTTTGATGGATGCCGCGATGCGAGCCACAACCCAGGCAACACACCGTGCCAAGGACTCTTTCGTAATGGGGCGGCTGGAACTGCCACCGGCCTCCGCGTCAGGCAACTCAACATGCTCCTCTTCACGAAGCAGCCGTAGCGCACCACACAAAATGCGGTGAGCGAGCTTGCCGGCGGACTCACATTTAGTCGAACAAAAATATGAGCCACAACCATCACAGGTGTGCCATGTACTATCATCCTGCTTTTGTGTTGCAGCTGTATTTGCCCGTTGACGAAGACAGTGTGTGCAGAAGGGAATACCGAGTGCCACGTACCCCTGCGCCGGCCACGACACGATGGGTACCTCTTCAAAAATATCTCGTTGCGCCGGGATATCGGCTGTTGCGACCACGTGTTTTCCCTTTTCGCTCGTATTCTGCACCCTGCACGGCACCTCCATTTTCTCGAAGATCGCCGTCAAGTGCAACGCCGCCGCCTCCGCAGTGTCCATCGTGGAGACAACCTATACCGCAGTGACACTGCGAATAGGAAGAAAGTAAAGAGTTAAAAAAAAAATCAGAGGAAAGTATGAAAGTAAATAAATGACGCGAGACACTTCGGTATATAGAGCCAAAAAGATAAGGACACCACGCCCCAAGCTCCCTCTTTTCTTCCACCTTATTTTTTATTTATTTATTCCTAAAGGAGGGAAAGACATGTTTCTTACCACCAGAATAATTACTCTTACCGCTCTTATACCGTCATATTATTGTGCAATGAACGGTGTTAATTTTAACGTGGTAAACCCCTTCCATCTAAAAAAAAAAGCTTGTATGTGCGTAGCTTTTTTTTTTTTTTTACTGGGAACGCAGCACCGTGTGCGACTGTAGACTGCCACGTCCCATGCTTCATAGCTCACATTTGTCTCCACCCCGCTACCTCGTTACTTATGGGAGCTCAGGTCCAATAAAATGCGTTGCAACTCTTCCACGGAATCCGCTTCTCTTAAACTCGGGTGCTCCGCTTCCAGGGCTCTTAACGACACGGCGAGTTGAGGAAAGCGTCGATTTGCCAGCGACTTCATCTGGAGCACCATGATCCGTAATTGGAACGCCCCGTGCATCTCCGCCATACGATTCCACTTAATCACTTGGCATATCATCTTCATATCCTCCAGTTCGTTATCCTGCTCCTGCTCTGCCTCTTCCCAGTGTGCCGCGTGATCGTCGAGGGAAACCGCCGCAGCTTCTCGGTGCGCAAGACGGCGCAGAGCCAAAGAGAGCAGCGTCAGCTCGTTGAAAAAGGTCATAAGAAACTCCAAGGTCTGCTCTGAAACGTACCGCGCATGCTGAACGTTTAAGGGATCTGTCGGAACACGAACGTACCGCAGAGCCGCGATACAAAGCACCTCAAATACGGTCGCGTAGCGCAGAAAAAGTTGATTAACATATGGCACATTCGTAACAAACGCTTCTGGGGTTTGCAAGATGCAGACGTCATGACCCTCAAGTCCGTTGGCTTCCACGCAGGGGATCTCAAGCTTAGAGGCCCCGGAGTGATGCTCACCGGAGATAATTCCACTAAGAATGTTGCTTAATACATCTGCCGCGTTTGTGAAAACGCTGGGAATGTCATGGGGAATGGAATCCATCATAATTGCAGAGGAAAGATCCACCTCAACCGACGAAGATCTGCAAAGCGGCAAAGGCTCACTTAGACTATTGTTGGCGGTGTTTGACCATGGAACGTAACCACTGTCGCTTACATTTACTGGAACAGCGTACAGCACAACGCGTGGATCTTCCCACTTTAGTCGTCTAGCAAAAAATGCAGAGATGTAGCACGGCGCAGTATGCCCGTTACGAAAGAGACCCGTTGTATCCGACCCACGTAGATAAAAACACAATTGAAATTGACGGGACCAATGCTTGGCATTACACTCCTTTGGGCCAATAAGCGGGTCACCACTCATCATAATACTCGTAAAGTGGTCGCGAGACGATTGTGCCAGATTGGGTGGCAGCGTGATCATATGCTCCAAGGCAGGGAGAAGCGTTTGCACCGCAATAGCACGCCAAAAGGCCTGTACGGAGGCCACCGATTTTTCCCACAGAAAGGGTTTAATGCAGCTGTACGCAATACAAAGGAGCTGGCACTCCGTGCTTGTCACAACCCAGCGGTTCAGCTGATTATCACGTAGCTGCGGGGAAACCACAAAATGTTCCAGACCAAGGACGCATCCAAAGCCACGTTGACCCTCATCAGACGCCATCCAACGACCAAGTTTGGGTTTTAAGAAACCGAAAACAACAACGTAAAAGAATTTTTCATCAAGTTTTATTTCATCACCTTCATTTAGACTCTTCGTGTTTCCCATGGCACTTATGGTGTTAACTTCTTGGGGATCCAGTCCACGGCCTAACGGTGTCGCTGCCAGAGCCTCAACTACTAATTCATTGTCCATTGTCGGCGCTTCCCATGATCGAGGTATGCCTTCATGCATCTCATGTACCATTTCTTGTAGGGCTGCGGTAGGTTTTGCCCCAAACCCATGATACTCATGCAACTCTTCCACACCTTTACGAATTTGATTCACAGCTGTCAAGACAGCACGGGTCGTGGCTACACACATTGTGGCTGCAGGGTAGGTTGCGTACAAGAGACGAATAACACGACGAACCTCTTCTCTCTGTGATGTAATCCAAGCTTCAATACGTCGTCCTTGTTGTTCATTTTTTGCGTATTGATACTTAATGGGATTTATCTCATCAAGGCATCGTGAGAATGAAAGTAGCGTCATAAATGCGTTTTGCTGCACACGCACGTGGGCCCACACCAGGTATCCTTTACCCAGAAAACATTCTAAAACAGTGACCCATAGTGGCATAAGATTTGCTTCTATCAGGCGAGCCTCTAATTCGTCATTCATTGTGACATTTGAAGATGATTTTCTTCCGTGTAAATCCTTAACTTCAATCAGCGTTCCTGCATCAACAGCACACACGACGGCGCGACCGATGATTAAAACAACCGTTTCAGTTATAAGATCCTCATCACGCTGTTTCCACAAAGAAGCTTTAAAGGCCTTCATAAGAAGACGATTTACAACAATATCATCATCTTCTCTCAAGGAGCTCATACCTTTATAGGGATTGCAAAGATGTTCTTGCACATAAGCCTCTGCGGCAGCCCAGTTAGCGCTTCGGTAGGAGGCCTTATTTTTATTTCTTTGAAGTGTTTTTTGACTCACAACCTGCAGGTATTCTAAGGCGTAGTCCATTTGTACCAGCCTGTGCTCCTCTTTACGTTTGTGCCCCAGAAGCGTCACAACTCTTTCGGCGGTTGTGGCGTTTAAAAACAGCGTCAAAAGTACAACTCCACATGTGACTTTCAAAACGTTCACCCCAGATTCAATTCCAGTTTGCAGTACCGCCAAGGCAAGTGTAACTGCGACCCCACCTCGAAGTCCTGCATGCGCAAGCAGTGCAACCTCTCGCTGCGACATTCGATACGAAAAAAGATTTAAAATCGGTAAAAGTATCTCTAACGTTAAAAAGCGTGCTATAATCATTGCAGTGTACATACAGATAATAATTATAAGGTCCAACATGTTTAGTGTAGGCACCACATCAGCCACCAAAATGACTCCCACCAGGGAAAACAACATTGTGTTACCAAGATGCACCAAAAATTCCCAAATGTTGTATATCAAATTCCCTTCGCAACCAGGAAATAATGATGGGCAATAAAAACTCAAAAAAGTTCCGCTAAAAAATAGTGTTAAAACTCCACTAGTACCTACAATATTTCCAGCAAAATAGTAACACACATATGTGACAGATACTGTAATGCATGCCTTAGTCAAACCACCTGTAGCACGGCGCAACCAGTAGGATTGTATAAATCCAAAAATAGGTCCAACAATAATGGGTAAAAATGCAAGTTGAAAACTTTTCAGAATAATTACCCACGCTGGGTCCTCCATACGGCCCGCTTTTGCAGCCGGTAATAGAAGTTTAAACGCAATGATAGCTGTACCATCATTCATAATTGCCTCACCATCTACCATAGCAGTAATCCTACTGTCAACACCAAGACCCTTCAATAATGACACTACGGCAACAGGATCAGTGGCCGATAGCAATGATCCCAATAGTAGTGCTGCATACCAGGACCATTCTGGGAAAAACCACGCCACAGGCAAGGCAAGTAGACATGTGTTAATCAGAACCCCAACCGATGCCAGAAGCAGGATTTGAGGAAATACATAACGCAACGCATGCACATTCATCGCATAACTCCCCTCAAAGATCAATACTGGAAGAAATATGTAAAAAAGAAGCTCCGGTGGAATATCACCAAGTGCTGTGGCAACGTCTGGGGTAATCCAGTGGGCGGCAAAACCGACAAAAATTCCGTACAAAAATAAAAGTACGGTGTACGGTAGAGGTATTTTTGACTTATTTGTCGCGAAGAATGTGCCGCCACAAAAAATGAGCATCATCAAAAACAACACATTCTGCGAAACCGCTTCCAGTTCTTCAGCCCTATCATGGTCATCTGTTGTCCTATTCATGTTTTCACCTTACACATAAATCAACGCAGTATTAAGACAAACAAGGCTCGCTCACACAACCAAAGAAATTCGTCTCCCGCCACATGGATGTGACATAATTTCTTTGCCATGAATATTCCAAAGGCCATAAACACATAATCATAAAAAAAAGAAAGAAGGTAAATAATAAATAAATAGTGATGCATATATAGAGAAGGTGCTTTTTAAAAATATATATTCGTTTTCTTTTCAGGTCAATAAATAAGTAAAGACGTAATAACATGCATATACATACAGTAATAATTACATTAACAAATTCACCCAGTTCGATAAATTGAACACAAAAGACCCAACCACACACACACAACATCAAGTAACTGTCGTAAGATAACGTCAATCACACATCGTTTAATGTTATTCACTTCAATACATCTCCACCATTCATTGGCCAATTTGCTTTCTCTGCGTTGATGAAAGGATCTAGTATGGGTGCAAAGACTGGTTGATTACCAAAAATGCGAGGTTCCTTATCAATAAGTATAGAATAAGTACGTGCGATTTCCATCCTACCGTCGTATTCACTTAATTCTGCAAACTGTACGCTTACCGCATCTGGTTCTCCTTCACGAGGGTGGCGCTTGTCAAAATCTTTTATTTCTTCGAAGGTAACCTTCATATCTTCGTCGTTCACTCCACTTTCAAATGAGGTAGCTCAAAAGTCGATATCGATCCATCATTGTGTCATAAAATTGGTAGCGTTTTTGTGCCTTATGCAAGCTTGCGAGGAGGAGGACAACACTCAATTTTTTAGGATCCAGCGAAAATGCCTTTTTAGCTGCAACAAGAGCGTCATCCAATCCGTTAACGGGGTCTTCTTTATGTAGTATTACTGCTAGAATTTCCCATGGGGATGCCTCGTCGGGAAACTCTTCCACAGCTTAAATACACAAACGTTTTCCAATACTCAATGAGTCCATCGTTCGATCCTCTATAAACTGGAAAATGGCTAATCTGTAAGCCGGATCCATGTCGTTAAGAGATCCCTGTTCAATTTCTGGAATTCGTTTTCCAGATGGTAATTCAAATTTACAAGATTTTTCCCTATAAAGCGTTATAAGTCGTTCGCATATTTTATAACTATCATGCTCCCGCCCAGCATATCTAAGAGCAGAATGAAGTTTAGATAAAATATAAAACTCAAACTGTACGGGGTCTTTCACTAATTCATACATGTTCCGCACCAAGAACATCTTTGAAAAAACTAATCACCACTCAATTGTCTCTTCGCAACCCTTTGCCGTAGAACTCTTCAAGCGGGCCGCAACGTGCTGTTCATTCATAGATCTAAAGAGTGATTCCAAAAACAGCGAAGTATATTGAGAGCCTATGGCATGAACAATTGGAGAAATTGCTTCTAAAAAGAAATGTGATGTTGAACCTTCTCCATTTTCCACGTAATGTAATGAAGCAGCCTTTATTATCATATCGGACAGCAAAACCATTGCAACTTCCAATACATAGGACCCATTTCCATCATACTTTGTACTTCAAACTTTCACAGCTTTTTCAGTCTGATTTGGTTTCATTTCCTCCTTATTAGTCCAAACTTGAATTTTGTCAAATAACTCACGAAGCTTGTCAGGACGTTCAGTGCCTGTGTATAGCTCAATAAGAGACTCCAAGGCATCACAGTTTGAGTGATCCGAGGCGAGAATTTCCATACAAATACTTTCAGCCCTTTTATAATTCTGGAGCCTTCTCTCCGCCAACGCAATGATGTACCGCATATGATTGCAATCATTTTTACTAATCACGACAAACTCACTAGACTCATCTATTGTCACCTTTTCACCCTCTGTAGCACATTGTTGCATCTACCACTTCAATGACTTTTTTTCCACTGTATATCCAATTTTCGTTACTAACTCATTAAGCGCATGTTTAAGACTCATACAAGCGAACTCAAGTTCTTCTTATGTACTACTGATCTGCAAAACGATTTCCTTCCATTTTTGTATGACAATGGTTGTGTGGCTATTGTATAGCAATTCTTCACGGTGCATCAACTCATACTCACGTTCCATCTCTTCTAGAGCTGTCTGCCCCTCCTGTGTTGTTTTCTTGTAAGTTACCATCTTCTTTGGACGATTAGCAGGATCCTGAATGTAACCTGAAGGAGTGTCAGCCAGTGTATTCTCCGTAATATTACAAAAATTAAGATTTGCAGTCCTTTTCAAAACATAATGGCGCCTTTGGATCACTTCATTAACACTGTTTGAATGCATCACATTTTTTTCGTACTCCTTCAATTTCCTCAAAGTCGTTCTGAAGAAAACAAAACCTCGATATATTACAGCATTAGAGGCTACATAAGCAGCATCACCTCTCGCAAAGACCTTTCTCATACAGAAGAAAATTCAGGACCGCTACTAAGTGGCTACACAACCCAACAAGGTATATATATATATATAACAGCAAATACCATGAAGGTCGCCATCAGCGTCAAGAGTGGTTGAAGAAGGAGTGAAAAAAAAAAAACTATCAAATAAAAACCATAGTGTGGAAAACACACAAAAAAATAATAATTAAGAGAGTAAATAATAATAATTTAAAAAGAGGGCTCTTCATCGTCCTGAATTAGTATAATCTGACTAATTCGTAGAAATCTAGCCAACCACTCACATATTGAGTTTTCACAGCTTCCTCAACGTCCCGATTCAAATGCAGGCAAATGCATTTCCTGAAAAAAGAGTTATACATTAGGAAAGCTTCGTGTTTGTGCCACAAATACTTTATAACTATTTACCATTTCATCTGGGTGCATTAGTCTTCGATAATTTTGTAAAATTGTCATGGCGTTTTTTCGTTTCCTGTTTGTGACGAAAATGCTGTTGATAAATTAAATTCACTTGGTCACAGCCTCAGCGGCAATAATACATGGCGACCAACTAAATACAACCCAATACAAAGGCCAAAGAGAATAAAAAGGCAGCCGCGTGTGTTCTCCTAGTGTCACCTTTCAAGCGTCAACCATGCGAAGGAAGCAGCAAAAGGTATAATAATAAAAAAAAACACTGTGAAACAGCAACGCAAAAAAAAAAAACGATCCACGGGGGCAGGTCGACACAACCGCGATCGCCGCAGCCTAAACACGCAGACGGCAGCTTGTTTACATGAACTTTGAACATCATACCTCGCGTGTGGCCTGCGCGCGAGGGCGCCTTGGCCCTCTCTCCGCCTTGCTCTCCCCAGTGGTGTTCTACCCTGCCGGAAAGCGATTGGCGGCGGGCAGGGTAAAACACCACTGGGGAGAGCAAGGCGGGCGGGACTGAAAAAAAAAAAAAGCCGACGTTAGGCGTGGCCCAAGGGCGGACCATGCGTCGTTCGCTTAGGAAAGCTCAGGGAAACGGTGTGGGGGAAAGCATTCCATGATGAGAGAAACAAAGAAGTACGCCTCTATCCTTCACCTTCTCAC